CCTCTAAAAAAAAAAAAACAGAATTGAAAAATAAAAATTGAAAACAACATAGACAAATCTTTCATGAAGTTTTGTTGTAAAGAGTCGGTGGAACAAAGAAATGAGGCAATAGTAGAAGAGGGAAAGGGATCAAAAATGATTTTGTTTTCAGAGGGGTGAAATTACAAGCTATTTTACACCAATTGAAATGATCCAAGAGAAAAGAAAGGATAATGCAAGAGAGAGGAGGGTAACTCCAGCAGTGCCGCCGAGTAAGGGAGAGCAGAAGGGGCCCGGTGCTGAGTGGCAGTGGTCTTTGCTAGCAAGAGAGAAAGGGGAAGTCTGTGGTGACAAATGCTGGGAACATGAGATTCTCTACCAACTTGATAGGGGGAAGGCAGAGGCCATAGACCAACATGCTGAGGAAAAAGGGATAGGCAGTGGAGATAGACAGTTTGTCAGAATTCTGCTCTGACTGCTTTTATTTTCTCTCTGAGTAATGACCCTCCATGATGTCCATGTCCTAAACCCAAGATCTGTGACTGTGTTACCTTACATGGCCAAAGGGACTTGGCAGATGTGATTAAGGGTAAGGACCGTGAGATGAGAAGATTTTGCTGGATTAACAGGGTAGACCCAATCTAATCACATGAGTCCTTAACAGTGGAAGAGGACGATGAAGTACTGAAACATGCTACAGCATGGATGAACCTTGAAAGCACACCAAGTGAAGAAAGCCGGGACAAAAGAACACATACTGTGTGATTCATCTACATGAAAAGGCCAGAAGAGGAATATCCATACAGGCAGAAAGCAGATTAGTGGTTACCAAGGGTTAGGAATGAGTGATGGGCAAGAATAAAAGATAACTGCTAAAGGGCACAGGGTTTCTTGGGGATGATGAAAATGTTCCAAACTTGGTTCTGGTAATGGATGGATATACAACTCCATGAATATACTAACAACTATCAAATTGTACACTTTAAATGCATGAATTGGCTGGGCGTGGTGGCTCAAACCTGTAATCCCAGCACTTTGGGAGGCCAAGGTGGGTGGATCACTTGAGGTCAGGAGTTGGAGACCAGCCTGGCCAACATGGTGAAACCCCATCTTAAAACTAAATTAAAAAATTAAAAAAATATAAATGCATGAATTATATGGTATGTGAACTACATCTTCACTATGGCTATTACTAAAAACAGTGGAAGGGGGCCAGGCACGGTGGCTCATGCCTGTAATCGCAGCACTTTGGGAGGCCAAAGCAGGCGGATCATGAGGTCAAGGGTTCAAGACCAGCCTGGCCAACATGGTGAAACCCCACCTCTACTAAAAATAGAAAAAACTAGCCGGGTATGGTGGCGCACACCTGTAGTCCCAGCTACTCGGGAGGCTGAGGCAGCAGAATTGCTTGAACCCAGCAGGCAGAGGTTGAAGTGAGCCGAGATTGCACCACTGCACTCCAGCCTGAGCAACAGAGTAAGACTCTGTCTCAAGAAAACAAAACAAAACAAAGAACAGTGGAAGGAGGAGGCAGAAGAACATGGTTGAGAGAAACATGATGATGGGGAAAGGGTCAGAGAGTTGTTGACTTTCAAGATGGAATAAGGAGACCATGAGCCAAGATGTGCAAGTGGCCTCTAGAAATAAGAAAAGGCAAAAAGGGCTTCTCCCTATGGTTTCCAGAAATGGACATAGTCCTGCCTATACCTTGGTTTTAACCCAGGAAGACTTCTGTCCAACTCCTGACTTCTAGACTGTGAGATAATAAATGTGTGTTGTTTTAAGCCACCACATTTGTAGTAGTTTGTATTGTTGTTTAGTTTTGTTTTGTTTTTGACAGAGTCTCACTCTGTTGCCCAGGCTGGAGTAGAGTGGCACAATCTCGGCTCACTGCAACCTCTGCCTCCCAGGTTCAGGCAATTCCCCTACCTCAGCCTCCCAAGTAGCTGGGATTACAGGGACCTGCCACCATGCTCAGCTAATTTTTTGGACTTTTTGGTATCTTTAGTAGAGTCAAGGTTTCGCCATGTTGGCCAGTCTGGTCTCGAACTCCAGGCCTCAGGTGATCCACTCACCTCGGCCTTCCAAAGAGCTGGGATTACAGGTATGAGCCACTGTGCCCGGCCTGTAGTAGTTTTTTATGATGGGCATCAACTGAGAGAGTGGGAAAGGAAGTATTGGAGGACTGACAGAAGATGACAGAAAATAGTTGTCTAAGTGCAAAAGAATGAATGAGTCAGAAAAATGTAATATAACTGCCAAACAGAATTAAAAACACACAACAAAATTGAGAACACCTTCTCCCCCATCTAGATAGCTACTATGAGAGTTCCACTTTTTATTAGAAAATATTAATTACCCCACTGTTGTACACTATTATTGTGACCCAGTGAAGATCATTTGCTGTAAGTTTGGTGAATGATTAGATCATAATCTTAACCACAAATGATTTCTGCATTGGGTCATTAGCAAACACTGTCCCCCAAAAATGAATGCAATGGGCTTTTTCAGTCTTAAAAACCGAAATAAAATAAAACAAAACTCAAGCCTTGCAAAATCACCTGTGATTATTGCTCAACCCATAAGACCCAGCTCAAACATATTCACCAACATAGAATATACTGCTAAAATAGAGTAGAGTCCCTTGAGAGGAATCCTCCCCAAACTCTTTCTCAGTGTATTAGTCAGGGTTCTCCAGAGAAGCAGAACCAGTAAGAAATCAGATATATATTTATTTAATAGGAGATATACTGAAGGCATTGTTTCAAGTGATTACGGAGGCCAAGAAGTCCCACGATGTGCTGTCGTTGGCAAGCTGGACAGCGGTTGGTGTGATTTAGTCCGAGTCAGAAGTCAGAAGGCCTGTGAGCCAAGGGAGCTGATGGAAATCCTGGTCTGGGTCCCAAGGCCTGAGAATCAGGAGCACAGCTGTCTGAGGGAAAAAGAAGATGGATGTCCCAGTTCAAGCAGAGGGAAAAAATTCACCCTTCCTTCACCTTTGTGTTCTATCCAGGTCCTCGATGGATTGAATGACACCCACCCATGTTGGTAAGGGTGACCTCTACTCAATCTACTGATTCAAATGCAAATCTCTTCCAGGATCATCCTCACCAACACACCCAGAAATAATGTGTTACCAGCTATTTGAGTATCTCTTAGCCCAGTCAGATTGACACATATTAACCATCACACTCAGGAATGGCCATGTAGGATACAAACAAGGAAGAGTCTCCTAGCAGAATCCTGAGGCAGCCATATTGAACTTAATCTACTCTTAAGTAAGTAAGTTAACAAACATATGCACATGAAGTTTGCTGGCCCTATGATTTACTTTATTGTACTCCTCCAGGAAGATGTGCTATAAGATCTGGACAAGTAACCTTTGTAGGTTGCTCTTTTCTTCTTTTCTAAAGGGTTTTTTAAAAAATTGTGCATATCTAGTTGTCTTTTATCATTTAATACTTTTTGTATCCTAGAAGTAGAACATACACAAACTTAATTCATATGAACTAAAGTGGGCTTAAGAGAAGAAAGTATAAGCATCATTTGACTAAGAAGATGGAAGACACAAATGTGTCATTCTCTCAGTTGGTCTGTTTCCAGGTGCCTCTCATAGTGTGGGCATCTAGCAGTCTGACTCCAAGTTCAGAGGCCCTAAATGCAAGCCGATGACTTCCTCTGGGGCTCAATAGAAGGATAAGCCATCTGTTCCAATGCTGCAAGGAAAATCCTCTAGGTTGGACTTACTGAGACAGAATGTCAGCCTCCAACATGGCTCATAAATGCAATATATTGTGTCTTTTAGGCAGTTTAAGAGATCTTCCATGGTAGTCTTGACTATACATAATCTTTGATTTATAACATACACATTTTAAATTTTTAGAGAATTTTCAATTTTACTAATACAGCAGAAAACAAAAATAAAAAGGCTACATGAAACCAAGTATGGAAGCAAATGGCATGTGAGACATGTTAGAACATACATGTTCTAAAGTAGATGGAAAGGGAAGGAAGGACCAAGCCAATGCAAATATTCATGATTCACTAAATATACTTGAGATACATTAAGCCCTTGACATTTTTTGAAGCCTTATATCAGCCACTCATAGTCAATACCATTCTGACCCCACTTGTACTTTGGCTCAAAAATGCAAATGAAATTGAGACCTACTCATCAGGCTTATTGATGAGATAGAGCTACTGCCATGCATATGTGTCCCTGTGTCTTTCCAATAGGCAAGTCCCTGTGTACACTGGTTCCATCCACCTTCTGTCTGTTGGATCCCCTTGCTCAAACATCACCTCTGATCCTCATAACCACACCGTCAGAAAGAAAATCTGGCACAGCAAGGGGAAAGACAGGAATATGAACATTGCATAATCCAGATTCAGGTAGTATGGTCCTTCTACCTTGCTTGTACCTTATCCAAAAAGGGTTAATCTACCTCACTCTTTCCTCTCACTTCTCGTTGAATATTTTAAATTACTTAATTAATTGTGTGATTCTAGATTCTTAGTTTGGCCTGTGGATCTTCCCCGAGATAACTTTGCCTAAGGGTCTAGGAGGTTACCATTGCCACATGGTAATTTCTCACACAACAGGAGCTGACCTTGGAACCTTTGCAAAAGATATGGCTGCATTGTTTTGAGAGCTGTTAAATTTGCCATTTAGCCCATAGATTGCAAAATTTTATACAACCACATCCAGATCTGATCAACTGAGATTCTGAAAATGAAAGATAAATGTAGTAGCTGGTCATGTCTTTTACTTGTTTTTCATTAAGTAGGCAAGGTGCCTGTTCAGTGTGGGAAAACTGCACTATGCTAGACAAGAGAATTTATGAAATTAGACTATGGAAAGAAATATGCATGTGCTCTACTATGAGACTGTTTATCTGGTGTACCTCCTTCTCCTGGAAACTGCCCCATAGCATCCATATATCTTGCATGAATGCTGTATTTTCTTATAATATTCCCATTGCTTTGATTTTAGTTGATTGGTTTAGGAATGAATACTCAAACTAAGCTAAGCCAATAAGTCTCTTCCCTGGGATTTGTAAATTTAGAACTCCCCAAAATTGAGGTTAGTTCCTTTTCAATATGTAGATTTGCATGGGGTATTCCTACAGATTTGAGTATACATGCGTACTACGTTTCATTGTGCCTCACCTTACTGCACACTGCAGATTCTACATTTTTCAAATTGAAGATGTGTGGCAACTCTGCATCAAACAAGTCTATTGGAGCCATTTTCCCGACAGCATGCACTTACTTTATGTCTCTATCACATTTTGATAATTCTCATAATATTTCAAACTTTTTCATTAATTATTATAACTCTTATCGTGATCTGTGATCAGTGAACTTTGATTATTATTGTAATTGTTTAGGGGCACCACAAACTGCACCTATATAAGACGGTAAACTTAATAAAATGTGTGTTCCTACAGATCCACTGATCAGTTGTTTCCAGTCTCTCTGCCTCTCCTTAGACCTCCCTTTTCCCTGAGACACAACAATATTGGAATTAGGCCAATTAATAACCCTATAATGGCCTCCAAGTGATCAAGTGAAAGGAAGAGTCACAATCTCTCACCTTAAATCAAATCTAGAAATGATTAAGCTTAGTGAAGACGACATATCAAAAGCTGAGATAAGCTGAAAGCTATGCTTCTTGTGACAAAACAGCCTTTGATTGGAAGGAGACACATTTAGGACTTTCATAGCTAGATAGAAGAAGGCAGTGGCTGGCTTCAAAAGACAGGCTGACTCTCTTGTTAGGGACTAAGGCAACTGGTGACTTTAAGTGGAAGCCAGTGTTCACTAACCATTCTGAAAACCCTAGAGCCCTTAACAATTATGCTCAATCTATTCTGCCTGTATTCTATAAATGAAACATCACAGCCTGAAGGAAATCACATCTGTTTACAGAATAGTTTACTGAATATTTTAAGCCCACGGTTGAGACCTACTGCTCAGAAAAGAAGATTCCTTTCAAAGTATTACTCTCTAACAGTGTAACTGGTCACCCAAGAGCATGATGAAGATGTACAAGATTAATGTTGTTTCTATGCCTGCTAACACGTCTGTTCTGCAGCCCATGGATCAGAGAGTTATTTCTACTTTCAGGTCTTATTATTTAAGAAACACATTTCAAAAGGCTTTAGCTACCATGTATAGTGATTCCTCTGATGGATCTGGGCCAAGTGAAAACATTCTGGAAAGGATTCACCGTTTCAGATGTCATTAAGAACATCTATGATTTATGGGAGGAGGTCAAAATATCAACATTAATAGGACTTTGGAAGAAGCTGATTCCGCCCCTCATGACTTTGAAGGGTTCAAGTCTCCAGTAGAGGAAGTAATTATAGATGTGCTAGAAATAGCAAGAGAACTAGAATTTGAAGTGGAGCCTGAAGATATGACTGAATTGTTACAATCTCATAATGAAACTTGAACAATAAGGAGTTGCTTCTGATGAATGGGCAAAGGAATTATTTTGTTTTTTGAGACAGAGGCTTGCTCTGTCACCCAGACTAGAGTGCAGTGGCACATTCATAGCACACTGTAACTTCAAACTCCTCAGCTAAACAATCTTCCTACCTCAGCCTCCCAACTAGCTAGGACTACAAGTGTATGCCACCACGTCTGGCTAATTTAAAAACATTTCTTTTTTTGTAGACATGGGGTCTCACTATGTTGCACAGGCTGCTCTTGAACTCCTGGTGTTGAGTAATTCCCTTACCTTGGCTTCCCTAAATACTGGGATTTATAGGCATATGCCACATGCAGTGGAAAATAGTTTCTTGAGATGGAATCTACTCAAGATAAATATAAAGGTGAAGATGCTGGGAACTTTGTTGAAATGACAACAAAGAACTTAGAATATTATATAAACTTACTTGATAAAGCAGCAGAGGGGTTTGAGAGGACTGACTCCAATTTTGAAAGACATTCTACTTTGGGTAAAATGCTATTAAACAGCATTACATGCTATAGAGAAATCTTTTGTGAAATAAAGAGTCAGTTGATGCATCAAGCTTCATTGTTGTCTCATTTCTTAAGAAATTGCTATAGCTGCCCAACCTCCAGCAACCATCATTTGCTCAGTCAGCAGCAATCAACACTGAGGCAAGACCCTCCAACAGCAAAAAGACTATAACTTGCTGAAGGCTCAGATGATCATTAGCACTTTTTAGCAATACAGTATCTTTTATTTTAAATTTTTTAGATATAATGCTCTTGTACACTTAATAGACTATAGCAGGGGTATCCAATCTTCTGGCTTCTCTAGGCCACATTGGAAAAAGAAGAATCGTTTTGGGCCGCACATAAAATGCACTAACACTAGCAATAGCTGATGTGCTAAATAATAATAATAATAATTGCAAAAGAAATCTCATAATGTTTTAGGAAAGTTTACAAATTTGTGTTTGGCACACTCAAAGCTGTCCTAGGTTGCATGTAGCCTGCAAGCCATGGGTTGGACAATCTTGGACCATAGTATAGTGTAAACATAACTTTTATATGTACTGAGAAACCATAAAAATGTGTGTGACCCACTTTATTGTGATGGTCTGGAACTGAACCCACAATATCTGTGAGGTACACCTATATTGGGATTTCAACCTGATACCTTAGGTTCTGGAGCCAGATTACTTAGATTTGAATATCAGAAGAACTCAGTAAATCTTAGCTATCTTTACTCTTTACAAGTTGAGATAAAGTATTTTCTTTTTCTTCTTCTTTTTTTTTTTTTTTTNTGAGATGGAGTCTTGCTCTGTCACTCAGGCTGGAGTGCTGTGGTGTGATCTCGACTCACTGCAACCTCCGACTCCCAGGTTCAAGCAATTCCCCTGTCACAGCCTCCCTAGTAGCTGGAACTACAAGCGCCTACCACCACACCAGCTAATTTTTGTATTTTTAGTAGAG